ACACACACACACACACACACACACACACACACACACACACTTAAGAAGAAGAAGGACTTACCAATACTGAAGGAACTCAATAACAATGAGGCCAACTTAAAAAACTTCTTTAAGTTGCCTTTAATAGTTAAGTAAACTGTGTGCAGTAATTTCACAAATATTACAATCTATGTAAAAATGCTATATTGGAATTTAAATTCATCAGACTTGGATGTGCCTGCTGACTTACCTTCTGCCTGGTAAAAGTTGGAGAATAAAGATATTTGTATTATTTTCTTTTCATATACACGGCCTTGTAGACATATCAAGCAAATGGACATATCACCTAACTGAGGTAAGTCATATGTCAGTTCAGTTGTAAGGTACAACATTTATCTAACTATATCTCAATATCATATGAAATACACTATGAATCATGTGCATGAATTTGGCAATTAGTGGAGCTATGCAAAAGTAATCAAATAAAAAAATATGTAAATTGTTTACTTTTTTGTATATGTATGTGAAAAATGCCTTATTTGCACAGTGTAAATTAGCAAATTTTCAAAATAAGAGTTGGGAACAAATACTATGAGTGTGAGATAATAGCTATAACTTTTAAGGATAAAATGTAATTTAGTCTGAAGCTAGTATCGGAGGTGATTTAAATCATGGAAATGACAAAGAATATAATGCAATCTACATTCCTTTGTTTCTTTTTAATATTTATAAAATGGAGAGAAAAAAAAATACATGGAAAAGAATAAGAACGGACAAAAGTGATACAAACCTTTAGCCCAACAAATCTGTTTTCCACAATATCAGTTCTTCCAACTCCGTGTTTGGCTCCTACTGAATTGCACACACAGAAAATTTCCAGTGGATCCCTCACTTGTGTGGCATCCCCGACAATTACTACACTAGATGGTAGACCTGGGGAAATGAGTTCAAAGCTAAACATTTCTTAATACTTGTAAAAGGATTACTTGTCTGCAGTGGTAATATTCTCGTCTAACAATTTTACTAATCTGAGTTCAATTTCACTTTAAGTTGATGGTAACCACAGCCATTCCTTGCACACTAGGTAATTTAGAAGCATAATAAACAAAAGCTTGTTTTTCTATTATTCATTAATATATCTATGATTTCTACAGATAAGCCTGATAGCTATAATCATATTACAATATATACATACACTTGCATAATTTTTCTTTATATCATAAATATAATGAAAATCAAAATCACACTTTACAGGCTGAATGAACTACAAAGATACCAGATATCAACAGATATCAATTTATTTAAAAAACAAATGCATAGATGAAAACAGAGTAATACAAGAAAAGAGATGACTACCTTTGTTAAAGGTGATAGTAAGAACTTGTGGTATATCTGGGGCCTTTTCTGGGTCTGTTGTCATCTGGAAAATTCCCTCAGGAGGATGAGTGGCTGGGTTCTCCAAAATGCCTGACTCGTAACTGTAAAAGAGCCTTGTCTGTAGTCAAGTACTTAAAAATGTTTAGTCCCTTTTTACAAAATGTGTGATTGGCACACACACACACAAACATATATATTTAAAGATATATAAATATATATATACATATAAACACGCACACACACACACTCATATGTACATGTATATGTATGTATATGTAATATATATATAAATCTCATATATATATATATATATATATATATAATATATATATATATATATATACACACACACACACACACACACACACACTCTCATATGTACATGTATATGTATGTATATGTAATATATATATAAATCTCATATATATATATATATATATATATATATGTATATATATATATATACACGTACACAAATATATAATATAAATCAGACATCTCCACTTAATTTTAAAAATATTTCTCAAAACAACTCGAATAAAACCTTACAATACCTTTAATTTCTTACCTTACGTGTACCATATTGGCATCGATACTCCAAGGACATTTAGGTGTAACAGGTAAGGGAATTCCATGTTCCCTTGCGTACTCAAATAATTCTTGTCGTCCTGGGAACCGTTTGTAGAAATTTGGATCCTTCCATGGTGCGATGATCTGTGATTCCATGACAATATAAATATAATAATTCACATACTGATATTTTCCATAAAGTAGAATAATAAATAAAATCTCTGGTGTGGTCTAATTTTTCTTTGCAAAGTTTATGCACTTTTACATTATGTGAAAAAATATTTAGTAAATAGGAATGATTTTATAAGGAAATAAGCTGGGGCAGTTTTTCACCACCCACTGGGCTCCTTTTAATGGTGGCCCCAAATTTAGATTTTGTAAATTTTGTTCATCACTCCTATGAACATATAGGGGGCTTCAGGGGACCTAGCACACAGTGTCTCAAAATTTCTAACACAACCTCAAAGTAATGCATGAGAATTGATTACCATATGTTGAAAATGAAAATACAAAAATAAGAAAATACAATACAAATTAAAAACCTTGATTTCAGGACACAAAGCATAACAGCCGAGCTCAAAACGGACTTGGTCATTTCCCTTGCCAGTTGCTCCGTGTGAAATATATCCTGTTGGGGTAAATGAAATATTGTAAATTAGTATGTCCTTATTGACACATTGAACTATAAAAAGAAGAAAAATGAATGATATTACTATATGTATAAATAAGATACATTGTCCATATCCTTTAATTAATTAGTTTATTTTTCTATAATAGTTAAATCTACAGAAAAAGCTGCTGTCAATTTATCATTTTGAGGTAAAACTTTGCTCATTATATGATCAAATGATCATGTGCAATGTCAGCATCAATAACAATCTCAATGTATGGCACAAGTCAAGCTCTCAAAACAAAGCAAAGACGATACATTACATCCATTCCCATCACTCGTTCTGCACTAACCTGCGCCTACTCTCTTAGCCACATCAATTATGCCTCTAACAATGCAAGGCCTGGCTAGAGCAGTTCCCAAAAGGTACCTGTCCTCGAAGATCAAATCTGCTGATACAGCCGGCCATACAAAATTCCGAATAAGTTCCTGGCGCTGGTCCTCTATCACAACCTGCAAGTTGTGATATAATTCAATAGAAACTTCATGTCATAATTAGAATGAAGGGAGAGTTTGCCTTATGCTCTGAAAATGATGTCTTTTAAATGAAACCTAATTTTTTCAATAGAAGAGTTATCATTTTCTTTAACTTACTTATATCTGCATTATATGTATGATATTTGTATAAGTTCTAAGATAAAAACATCTAATAAACTTTTCTTTATTGGCCTAAAGATTTTCAAAGCTAAGAAGTGCAACAGAGAGAGAGAGAGAGAGAGAGAGAGAG